ACACACAATAGTGTAACCCAACGACCAGGGCTTCCCCACCATCCAGCACCAAAATTCAACACACACGCCCATTCCCTTTCTCAGACCCCTCTCCCCACTCCCAGCCCCACTCCCACAGGCCAGGAGATGCGGGGAGCGCGGGAAGGGAGGGCAGAGATTCTGAATGCTGCTGTCCCCAGCGGCTCGCCGTCCCCTCGCCCCCGCCCCTGAAGCGTTACCCGCCCCCTTCCCACTCTTTACCTGCCAACAGGTTCCTAATTTCTTCAGGGAGGGGATAGGGAGAGGAGGTACTGCTGGGATTGGGCATATTAGAGTGCGCGGGGCGTGCGGGGAAAGGACCTGAAAGGGTAACCGACGGTCTGGGGTTGCGGCTGCGACCTAGACTCTAGCTAGCGGTCCGCGTAAACACAGCGGGGCTGAGATTCCGGACACTGCCGGGCCGGGGTTCACAACAAGGAAGTCACTGAAGCTTTAGCCAGCAGCAGCTGGACTCTCGGCCCAACCCCACCGGGCAGATCCGGGCGGGGCGATGGGCGGGGCAAAAAATAAAAAAAAAGCCGAAGGCCTGAAGGACCCAACTGTAAGCCTTGGTTTTCTTAACCTCCTAAAAGAACCTCTGGACAGGCCACGCCCACTGCTACGTCAGGGAGCTGGAGGAGGAGCGACTGGTGGGAAGGGAGGTGACTGGGGCTGCATCACCTGATCCTGCGCCTGAAGCGCCTTGCCGCCATTTTGGTTACTGGCACCAACTGCTGACCATTTCAACAGGACATCGGAAAGTAAGGTAGTCGTAGTGCCTCCAAGTTTTACGATTAAGAGGCCTTATGGCCAAAGGCCAGCACTGCCAAGGTTTAACACCTCGCCTAGTAACCCACAAGGAATTTTCGACCGTCCTGAACTATCGGGGCCTTCTTTGTCCGATTGAATGAAGGTTGCAAAGTCCCATCTTCCGCCAATCCTCCCTGAGAATCCAGAGGAGCTGCTCCAGGGAGCGATCTGATTGGCTCTCACATACTCTTCTACATAACTCGATTCTTGGGTGACGGTTTTCCCCACTACAAACTAAAAGTGGGGAGTACAGTCACTATTCTGAGTTTAAAAAAATAATAAAAGTAAAGCTAAATAAACAGTAGATACTACCGTCTATTATAAGCATCATATTGATGGTAATTAGAATGAAATTATAAAATCGGTTCTCTACAACTTGATCGTTTAGACAACAAACACTTATTGTCTGCTATCTGTAAATCTTCTTACAGGTTTTCTCTAAAACCTAAAAAGGCACGTTCTGGTGCCGTGTGTGTGTGTGTGTGTGTGTGTGTGTGTGTAAATATATATATACCGATAGCAACTGACATGGCAAAGCTCTTTCCTAGATGCTACTACTATATTTTGAAGATTATATTGTGGCTCCAATCGCAGTGTAAATTGTTTATTCCTCTACCCTCCAATCCTCACTATATCTGTAGCCCTTTAGTTTTCATTAGAACCATAGAGAGAATCTATTACAATACAGATTCTCAAGTCCCACTCACAGAGATTCTGATTCATCAGTTTAGATGGGACCTAATTATTTAATTTTAAACAAGCCATGTAGGTGGTTCTGATGCTAGACATTCTGATATTTGATTTTGAGAATCACTTGACTACTTTCCAGCTCCAATTAGGCAAAAAAATTGCCATTACTTACATCCCCACCTGGAACCCTAAACCTAACATAGAATAATGGCTCTATTAATATTTCATACTAAAAAAGTTTCAGACAGTAATAGTAAAAAAAAATAAGTAGTCAAATGCAATGACATTTCTGAATAATTCTCTAAAAGGCACACCACATACAAATTGTAAAAGAAAAATTTGGAATATTTTGGAGTCTTCTCAAAACAAACGACAAAAAATTTAAAACTGAAGTAAAACATGCAAAATAACCACAAAAAGACAACCACAAAACCAACCCATTTTCTAAAATGGAATCTGAAATTCCTACTCAGATTTATAAATGTGATGAATTATAGAAAGCGTAGAATTAGAATTCTTTTGTGTGGCAGTAAAAGTGAATAGAGTCATTTTACAATGTAGTGTCCTCCAGCTTCAAAGAACTGAGAATTATTATTCTTAAACTACAAAATTATCTTTCTTCCTACTTCATGGACATTTCATATTAGTGAGGATTCTTCCTCCCTTTACAGTTATCACATATAATTCTTTGCCCCGTCACATTTTTTTTTATTAAAGTAGTCCTCCAAATGTTCCTATCCTTTGTTTCTTTCTGATAGAACTGTCTAGATATTTTTTTATTCTTGTGTCTCATTTATTTATTTATACTCCACTCATTCCACAAAGGAATTGAGGTGATTTACTCTTATATCAAAGAGACAGCTTTCTGGAGTGGATCAAATGGACAGTGTCTACACTGCTCATTATGACAAGTCATTCTTGTTACTGAGAGACAGGAAACTATTAAGATTGCCTTAAAATATATAGCATCTAGTAGTGCAAATAAAAAAGGCAATAACAGAAAATGGACTTTTTGTATGAAACACATTTACCCTATTTAGGAAACCATTCTCAGACACAGGTTCATGATGAATTCACTTGGGCAATGCTTTGTATACTCTATCATTTTTACTGTTTATTGTTAAAGCTACTGAAATTGAATATAAGACTGAAAGAGAAATAAACAGAGGCTAGAAGAAATATATTCTTATTTCTCTCATTTCCATAACAAAATCTAGGAAGGAAATCAAAACATACTTTGCATTCTTTAAACTAGTTATATTAGGCAAAAATAAATAATAAGTGAAACTTTAAATCTCAACCCGACAGAGGTGGTAGCTACTCTACCATTCTACAAAGAGACAAGGCTCTGGGAAAATCTCATGATCTATCTCCTCAAAAGTCCTCCAGTTCAAAGAAGGTATATATACAGTCATGTGCCACCTAACAATGGGGATACATTCTGAGAAATGTGTTGGTAGGTGATTGCATTACTGTGCAAACGTCATAACTACTTACACAAACCTAGATGTAGAGCCTACTAACACACCGAGGCTATATGGTATACCACTGTCATGTATGCGGTGTATCATAGACCAAAATGTTGTTATATAGGCATGACTGTATATCTCCCTATAACGAAAGCTAATCCCCCTTCTTTACATCTTTCAAATTTAGCTGAGCTAAATAAACATTTGCCCACAGGCCTAGATTTAAAAGAATCTAAACTGGCAGTGAAAAAAAATAGTGAGCTAAAACACTATTTTTCTCTGCTTGCCTTATCTTCTTTTTGTTTGGCTTTCATAGGCATGTGTTGTATCAGTTATCTGTTGCTGCATAACAAAACATAGCTTAAAACAAACAGTATCTCACACAGTTTCTGATGGTCCAGAATCCATGAGTAGATTAGCAGGATAGTTCTGACTCAGAGTCTCCCATGAAGTTACAGTCAAGTCATAGGCTGGGTTGCAGTCAACTGAAGACTTGACCATAACTAGAGGATCAACTTTGAAGAAAGCTCCCCACAAGACTGTTGTTTGGAGTCCCCCACTCCTCTTTGGCTGTTGGCAAAAGGCTACCACAGTTCCTCGATACATGAACTTCTCCACAGGGCTACTCAAGTGCCCTCTTGACAGACAACTAGCTACCCCCAGAGCAAGTGATCCAAGAGATAGCACAATCAGGACAGAAGCTGCAATGTCTTTATGACTTAATATTAGAAATGGCATAATTTTACTGCTGCCATATTCTATTGGCCACAGAGACCTGGTATATAGTGAGAAGGGACTACAAAAGGCTATGAATACCAGGAAGTAGGAATCACTGGGGCCATATGGAAAGCTGACTACCATAGTCAGCTCTCTGGCTGCCAATGATCCACATCTCTCCCGATGCAAAATACGCCCATCCCTTCTCAAAGCCACCTGCAAAGTCTGATCAGCTCAAAGTCCAGAATCTCATCACAGTAAAGTCCAGGTATGGATGATGCTTCTTAAATACAGCTCCTCGAGTACAGTTCTCTTGATTAAAGATATATGAAGTAAAAAGACAAGTTATCTGCTCCCCATATAACTTACAACGGTGGGACAGGCATACAATAACCACTATAGACATTCCTGTTCAAAAGGAGTGGCGACAATAAGTATACAGACATCACTGGTTCGTAGCAATTATGAAGACCAACCAGGAAAATGTAAAAATTCTTTGATTAGGACAGTTTTACTCCTACCTGGAATAATTTCTACATGAATCTGGCTCTGCCCTCTAATTCATCCTTTCTTTTCCATTGAAGGCAGCCCGTGTTTTCAGTTGCACGGTGTTCTCAATCTGCTTTTCATTTCATACTGTCACTATCCCACTCTCTATCAGGGTTCAGTCAGAGAATCAAAACCATGAGAGTGGAGTTAGAAATAGAGATAGAAAGGAATTTGTTATGGAGATTTGACCCTACACAGTGTGGAAGGTGGTTAAACTGATGCTGCAATTTGAAGTCCACAGAGCAGAATCAGGAAGGGATGATGGAGGAGATTCAAGACAAGCTGGAACACGGAAGCACAAGCCATAGTTCATGAGGACAACCTGAAACCTGAGTGAGCTCTTGCTGCCTCTAACTTTGATGGTGTGGATGTCCTGCAGAAGCTGGGTCCTTCGTGACAGAGCTAAACACACACTTAGAAGCCAGGGAGCTGAAAGGTGGATCCAGCAGAAAGTGGGGCAGTTGCAGGCCCAGCTGCTGCCTCAAGCCAGTTGAGGTGAACAAGGAAATAAGCAACAATATATATGCGAGCTACATGACTGCTGCTCCACTTCTGCAAATCTCATGTAAAACCTCTTTTGTGGCCCACCCTAACCAGAAACAGACAGACAGGGAATTCCAGGAAATAGAAGTCGACTGATTGCAAAGCCAAGGAGCAGACACCTGTACTATTGTAAGGAAAGGGTGGATTAAAGAAGCAATTGAGATTTTGTATTTATTTTGTAGCCTAATACATTTTTAAAACTTTTTAAACTCATTGTGTCTTTTAAGTCATCTAGTAAGGGGTCTTTTAAAAGTTTTTAGGAATGAAGATTTGTTTTATTTTCTAAATTCTTAACCCTCTCTTCATTTGAATCTTCTAGGGCTAGTAGGTATAAGTTTATCATT